AAGATATCGGCAAGTCCCTACCTTTGGTCGAGGTACCATTCGAAAGTTCAGCAACAATGCATCTGGAATGAAGAAGCTTGCTGCACGCGATTTCGAGGACCTTTTGCAAGTAAGTGTTTACTTGTACCAATTATTTGATTGACATGATCTAATCTCTCGTACTACTATAGTGTTCCATTCCCGTTTTTGAAGACCTTCTTCCAGCAACAATAAATGTTCTCGTTCTCGATCTTCTATTCGAGCTTGCCACTTGGCAAGGACTGGCTAAACTACGCATCCACACTGACTCTACATTGTCCTTCCTCGACTCGTCAACAACCCGGATTGGCAAAGTTTTATGCCGCTTTGTCAGCGAGACAGAGAAGGAGTACGACACATATGACCTACCCAGTGAAGAGGCTGCTCGTGGACATTATAAGGCACGCAAAGCAGCACAGGGACGATCCGATAGTGACATTCGTGAGAAATCTACTGTGGGATTCTCAAAATGTCGCAGACGTTTTAATTTTCAAACTTATAAACTTCATGCACTCGGTGATTATGTCAATACAATCCGGCGATTCGGTACTACTGACAACTACTCGACTATGCTGGTATGTGACAGATTCTCATGATTTTATTCGTTATACTGATCTATGCCAGGGCAAGCTTGAACATCGACGTGTAAAACGCTTCTACCCACGAGTCAACAAGTCCCAATTCACATCCGGCATTGCAAAGCAACAACGTCGCGAGAGGATCCTGTTCCGGATGGGAAATAGATCAACAGGCCATAAAAAAGGCGAAGGAAAGCATCAGACTCAGAAAACAGTTTCTTCCGATGCTCCATCATTACGCTTTGAGGACTCCGATCAACTGCCTTTCACTGACCCTCGTGCACATTACCACATTTCTACTGGAGTGCGGCACTACCTGAATATTTCTCAGTGGCTCAGAAAGAACGCAAATGATCCTGCCTTTACAGTGAATTTTTCCTTACTTGACATTGATGATGCTTACTAGAACGATCAGGACTTTCTTCCACGACTCAAGGACCACATTATCTCGCGATTGAGAGAATATGACTATGACGGCGATGAAATTTCCTTCACACCCGCTGAACGTAATCACCTCATATTGATCAATGACCAAATCTATCGACATAAAGTACTTCGTGTCAACTACACGTCATATGATCTGCGACGAGCACAGGATTCTCTCAATCCCCGCACTCATGCTGATATCATGGTCCTGTCCCACGAAAACGACGAGGTCGATGTACATCCTTACTGGTATGCTCGGATCATTGGTGTATTTCACACATTTGTTGTTTTCAATGACACTGCTGCGGGTACGTCGTCGCATGAGTCAAAGCAGATTGATTTTGTTTGGGTGCGTTGGTTTGGTCGTGATCTCGAGCATCGAGCAGGCTGGCGAGCAAAACGGCTGCATCGGGTTGGTTTCATTCCAAGCAGTGACGCTGGAGCATTCGGATTTATCGACCCCAAACAAATCATTCGTGGAGTCCACCTGATACCTGCCTTCACGAAGGGTCACACGACAGACTTACTACCACCATCTATCATACGGCATCCGAGCGAGAACGACGAAGACTGGGTCTATTACTATGTCAATGCGTGAGTCCCCTTTACATAAATTGATTTTCATCGCTGACATGACTAGTTTCGTTGACCGCGATATGTTTATGAGATTTCGTGGTGGTGGCATGGGACATCGCACAACTCGCGAAGCAACACAGTGCTTCTTCCATGATCGTGATCCGCTTGATAACATTGGGCCGAACAGCGGAGGCACCGGGAATGACGATGACGACGAGATCGACGAGCCTGGCACTGGCTCCTCTACTACTGACAATGCCCTGGAGCCAGAGAATGATGAACTGGAGTATGATGACTATGGTTACTCCGGAATTGAGCAAAGAGAAGAGGGTGAGGACAATGACGAGGATGGTGACGAGGATGGTGACCAAGCAGACGAGAAGGAGAACATCGACGGGGATGATGACGTTGTGGATGATGAGCTGGGCGCAGAGGATGGCGAAAATGGTGACGAGGAGCTAGAAGGATTCGACGAGTTCTGACTTAATGCATACTTGGACTCTGGCCGATGGCAGACGTCATCACACTTCCAACCTCTTCATGTACCTCTGATCATGCATCCTTCTGTCAATCGTTATACAAACTATGCACATTTTAACCCTGAAACTTCTCATTCCCCACATATCTGTGACTACTTGTATAGGACATACAACTATTTCATGCATACCTCCGCAATTATGTTAGTACCTCACAAGCTTCACACATTTCTTGTACCAGTTTTCATTTTGTATATTTTTGCTATGACTAGCATACAGGCTACAATCTCATGCACGCCTTCACACTCCTGTTAGTTTCTTTGCAAGCTTCACGCATTTCGTGTACGAGCCCTACATTTTACACACGTCTGTTAGGATTTATATACAAGCTACAATCTCAATCATACCTCCACACTTCTGTCTGTCACTATAGCAGCTTCGCACACTACCGGTACAAGCCTTACATTTCACACATGTCTGTCACTACTTGTATATGTACTACAATCTCATACATATTATCTACCAGTCTGCTCCGGGTTTGTAACCTCTACAAGGCAGTAACCGGCCATACATGCAAGCGGAAGTTCGCATACTTGCCTTACATTTTGCACAAGACTTGTATACAGGCTATAATCTCATGCATACCTTCACACTCCTGTTTTTTACAGTACAAGCTTCACACACTTCCGGTAGAAGCTTTACATTTTCCACATGTCTGTTACTACTTACATATGAACTACAACGTACTACAATCTCGTACATACCAACTACAAGGGTTTGTAAGCCATAAAAGGCAGTACCCGGCCATACACGCAAACTGCTCTTTTGTTGATGTAACAGTTTGGTTTTTGGAAGCCTTCAAGTTCGTCTGTTACCACGTGATACACTCAGTCACTAACAGTACTCAAAGCTTTCGCATAAGCATCAAGTAGCTGGGTATAACTGCAAACCCTCGAGGCATTCGAACAGGACGTGGCAGTGGAAGATAGATGTGAACGATCAGGTTGCAATACCACAACCATGGATGATTGGAAGTTCGAGCACCGTGACATCTTAGTCACAGACAAACAAGTATAACAAGTTTTATGCTTCCTCGTCTGCTTCAACTTGGTTGGTGCGACCAAGCATGTTGTAATGACTACATACATCGTGACATAATAACACGACCGAGTGGAAGAAGGCCACCTATCTCCGGCGACACCCTCGAGGCGTTGAGATTTATTGGGTCGACTTGGAGAAGGCCTTCAACCCGGCCAAATCATCTTGAACGAGTTCGATCTTTGACAGGCGGAGGTATCTGAGCCACCTCCAGGACCTGAAAACAGACATCCCAATGCCCATAGGAACACGAGATGCATTAGCTGGATTGGCTGATTTCGTGTATTTTGGTCGGTCTGGTCTTTGTTTCCAGGCACTTATACCCAAGCCGTCCGTCCGTCCGTCCGTCCATCCATCCATCCACAGAGCTGTCCCTCATGAAGTAGAGCGCGATTCTCATTACTGTCCTCGTAATGATCCCGACAGCACTTTGTTTCCTGTTTCTTGTTTCCATATTGGTTGGCCTCAGCAACGATCTGTTCAACTTGAGGCTGCCGAACCCTTCAGAATTGCGTGAGTACACTCAATACAGCCTTCAGATCCGAAATGAAGTTGACTGTCAATGTTGCCGAAGCCGATATGCCAGTATCCGCGTCTTCAAGGTCCTTTATTAGTAAGTAGAGATGCTCCTTAACCTAAGTATGGTGGCATCGTTAGCAAGTGGCAGCCTGCCCAGATGAAAGATAGCTATCAGGAATGAGGCAAATACCATGAGCTGCACCCACTAATACGATAGACGCATTCCAACAGTGCTGTAGGCTCTCAACTTCGTAGACTGGCCAAACAGGTGCGTCAACAAACTCTCTCACCAAACCGCCATGCCTGAGCTAGGTCGCAGGTCGATTCAAGCTGGCATACATCGTTCACAAACAAAGTCTCGCGCACTTCAGCCTGACAGTTTTCCATATACTACTAGCAGCGACTAAGGGTTTACTTTCTCCAAGTTTGCTCCCTTCACGCCAGCGAACGATAATTCTTTCAGAGGGTAGTCTGCGTTCTCAAGTATCGACCTTGGTGCTCCACACGATGATCAACCTTCTTCATGATGCCCAGCAATACTTCCTGATATCATTGTCCCATCACATGATCAACGTGGAAGCAAAACCATGACGCTCTACAAGACCTAGCTGAGAGGCCACTAGACGACATATATATCTGCAAGCATGAATTATGGCCGCCATTGGGCCGGTGATGAGGTCTTCCTCCAATCCAAGTCCTTGAAGAATATGCATCCCGTTCGGCCCAAACATTACGATATCACCTTCGATTCAATGACCCCGTACGCCTTAGGCAATTCTCGAGTACTACAGTATTTGCATTCAAGTAAGATCAGGATAGGGCTGCTGTGGCATGGATCGTCAATGACCTTGCACTAACGATACATACACTGATGATGATGATCAGCAACTTACCCCATTCAAGTTTTGACGCAGCATTTTCTCATCGTGGCATTTGAGATAAGTCTTTCGAATACATAAGTTGCAGTTACCATACTATTTATACTTAGTCGTGGTAGACAACTTGCCGACCGAATGTGGGCATATGTACTTACGTTCTCGGTGTGGCGGCATGCTGCACGTAGGGCAATAGCCCTCAATAGGCCAACAGAAGTTCCATGTTTCTTGATGTATTCGTGTCAAGTCTCGAGTGTAATAGAACGTAGATGGTACGTGTCTTATTTACATGGTAGTGATGTCCTGATTTGTATGGTTTTTCAGTTTGTGGCTGATGAAATCTAAGCTGCCTGGTAATCATATACTGAGAATGTGATATCGCTATCTTACACGAATGGGGAAAATCTATCCTTTGGTGCATCGTATCAAGAGCACTAACGCATGTGCTGGTATAAGCAGGAGAAGACACGTTGTCTGGGATATTTAGGCGCCACCCGAAGTCCTTGTTGTTTGGCCCACCGCCTAACAACATTTGGGTCTGATATGCATTCCATGAGCAATCAACAATAATTGTTGACTTGAAACTTACAATCCGTAATAATTCCATCTGCACCATCCTTGAAGAGCTCTTCGGCACGGTCTAAGCCATTCACCTGCAATGGGTGATCTGTGAATATCGTTTATTGTGAAGAAATGAGAAGTGCTCACAGTCCAGGGTACAACTTTCATGCCGAACCTGTGAGCTTCGCTAATCATTTCAGGAGTTGTGAAGTGAGAGAATCCCTCATGGGATGAAGAGGGAATGAGGAATGTTCCAGTAGGAGATAAAATATCCGCTTGTATAGCATGGGCGGCTTGTGCTATCTGCTCGGACAGTGATGGTCCGGGAAATGATTCAAGGCGTAGGCCGGCCAGCCATGGGGAAGTTGAGCCACGCGGCGTAAAAGCAGTGTCCCTGAATGGTGACAGTTGGCGTGCAATGTATTGGCTCGAAATTCACTCACTCATCGATAAGAGCAGAAGTTATAAGTTTATCATCCAATGTCTTTAGCTGATGATCAAAAAAGCAAAGTGGACGAACATGAGACACAAACCTTCATGGATACCAGAGTTCGCCAGTCAAAACTTTGATACTGGCAAGGCAATTAGAGTATGGGGCAGTAGTAACAGAGCCATACTCACCGTGATAGATTGGTAGTATGGGCTAGATATAAATATCTCATGTTGCTTCTGGACAAAATCATCCACGCCGGCAGTCTGATTTGGGTATCGAGCGTTAATTTTTGACTCGATGTTCCAAAGGATCTGGTGGGACAGATCTGCGCATGACACGAAGTCGAAAACTTCCCGTAATGTGGGTATCCGTGCTCCAGGATATGCAAGCTGTTGAGCTGTGTAAAATGTTTACGACAATGGCTACAGTTAAAAAGGGAGTATATACGATAATTCGTTTGACGCTTTGATCCACAATCGAGGGTCTTTATCTGAGCCAACGTCAGATTTGATATAAACTTTCCGACATAAGGATATGCGGGATCATCTGGGACCTGTGCGGGTCGGTTAACCATCACAGTTGATTCTACAACACTGCTCACCACCGGTGCAGTGTCAAAGCATTTTTCTGGTAATATATTCTCGTCATGCCATACAACGACTTCACCATCCTGTAAGCCCCTTCAGAAGGATGCGTGACTCTGAGAAGTGAGAGCTTGCCTGAGTGATGCCATTGTCTAGTTCGAGTGTGGTGGCGCCGTCGATGAGGCCCCTGTGACGGGAGTTCGCTTGAGGTGAATCAAACATTGACCTCGTCCACTATACCATGCAAAGCTCGGTAGAGTGCTCTCGACAACATTTCCTCTTCCTCCGCGATGAGCCTGTATTACGGTTTGTACAAGCCATGACCTTGAGTGCACTAGTCTGACGCACCTGGATATCGTAGAACTGATGATTGTTAGACACAGTTCGAAATGGACCCTGCGATGGTGATGCGTAAACCAGAGAAATCTCTGTGAATACGAGGGCATAGACAAGTATAATGCACATGATGAAGGGAGATGGATCTGTTTTTCCACCTCAGCCAGTCCATGATTCATATAAGATCTCTCCTTTCTCTCGAATTGCCCACCACGGCATTCGGCAAAACACCGGTTATCGATAGGCGTTCAAAACGACCAGTGTCGAGACGAACGTTCAAGTAAAAGATCCCGATGTTTTCCAGCTGCCAGCGATTTGAACAGGTGGCACTGCCAGCTGCAACGTTCACTTCCTGGCAAGGCAAGGCACTGGCCTGCCGGCTATCATTCACTGCTGCTTTTGCAGTTTCGTTACTAGAGTAGCACGCGCCATTCCGCGACTCACAGTAACGTGCGTCGGCCCATTGAATGCAAGTAGACTGCGGTATCAAAGTATTGTTCCGGTGGTGAACTAGTTGGTAAGAGGAACGTGCGTGATGAACAGCCAATACGATATAAGTAGCTTCATGCCGTAGTGGGTCACGACAATAGAAAAAGCTAGTTTCATACATCGAACGCTCCAGAGTCCACGGTCAGGAGATAAAGATCGTGCGCTAACATTTGATAGGGTCCAGGGATACTCAGACCTGGAACGGCTTGGTTATGCTTAGACCCCCCGGTAGTACTATCCAATGTGTATGGGGTGTAAACAAACCAAAATACGTGACAAGCCGGCGGGTAACCGGGTCTATAGACTATAGTCGGGTGCTATTGAGCGTCCCTCTGCGACAAGCTCTGCCGGAGATTATCGATTATTGATCAATGATCATGCCAGTTTCGCTAATGCCATGAAAAAGAACCTAGGATCCGCCACCCCTTCCCGTTCCCCATGTCCACTGCTCCGTAGATATGACATGGACCTTGCTGTCATACCATGCATTACTGCAACTCGTTGCAACTCACGCCTCAGCCAGATGTTCGTCAGATCTGCGATGTTCCATGGATTTCGTTTTGTGACTCGTGAGGCAGGTGTACACTGTAGATACATTCAGGATGAAGTGCGCGTTGGTTCGGCGGAATCTCCCTCAAGGTTGACTAGTCCAAGATTCCTCCATTCATCGCGCTCCATCAGTCCTCTGCAACAAATGTGAGCTATTGAGAGCACAAAAACAGACGTTGGCATACTTGGTCATTCGACAATCAAGGTATTGTTTGCTCATTACTCTGCATGGGGTGGATTCACTGGAATTCTTGCGCAAGCAAGCCATGTATTGCATCATCTGTTCCTTGCACTCGCCTGCATATTATAATCAGTTAGTCATGTCATGATGAAGACAGCGAGCCAGACCATCATGGTCCAGAGGAAAAGAACCGCGATCTGGAGGGGAAGTCTTGAATCCGACGTTAATTGATGGTGGGCGTCCAAAAGACATGCGTGAGAACGTTAGCAGGTATTACACATTAGGATACTTGACCAATACTATGACCTGATCCATAATGCACAATATTAATCAATGGGCAATGCACAACGCACTTCAGAGCTTACAACTCTACATAATTTCATTTGGGACAGCTGGAGAAAAATCATCAGCATATTTCTAATAAGCCCACCAAATCAAAAATTTAAAATCGACGCCGTGGAACCTTTCCGAGATGAAACATTATGCAAGTGTACCCAAAATGTGTGATTTTTGGACACTAAAATCAAGATCCACCCAGATCCCATTGATTCTATCATCATAGGAACTTCAGCATATGTAAAATACATCATTCTGAATCTACTCCAGGTATTTATGAACAGCACCACAGGCTACAGCGTGCTACATGAGTTGCGTGACAGTCAAACTAAACCAGGAAATCACACTGTCGGCTTGGCTTGGTTGAGTCTCCGCTTCGTTGCATTAGGCAAAATCGGAATTGTCCACGGCGATGTGAAACTCATTCGCTGTATCGACCAATTAGACTTGTTTGAGTCCTGTCGGACTTTAGATATTATTGTAGGTGCCGCGCGTGACATAGCGTGACGAACTTGTGCATTTCTATTTTCGACGAACCTCCGCTGCAGCCGCTGCAACAAGGTCGCAACAAAATAAAAAAATTCTCGTTGGACTCAAAGAGACCTAAGGTACACCCTGAAGTAGACCCGATACGAATATGTGTTGTTGTTGTAATGTTAAGTGAAAATTGTGCATTTCCCGTCGAAACGCTAGCAGGTACGCATTTACCGATATGAACGAACAAAAAGGAACGTTTCAGCCATATTAGGTTTAACTGTAGTTAAGATCTTGGCATTACAAGGTACATACAAATGTGCGAACGTGCGGCTACAAAGTCCTGGTTGCTACAAAGTTCTGGCTGCTGCGCTGAACTTATCAGAGATGGGGCTGCCAAACACACCCAGAAAAAAAGCATCTCCATGACATCTATGATCTTGAATATAAGTCTCTCACACATACATGACATAGCGTAAACGGCTCAACCTCCACCACGCGTTGTTTTATTTCCCTTCGCGTGTCTCGTGACCTTCTTCCTCGTCGCTGCTAGGATCACCGTCATGACCGCCGCCCTGTGCGGACGAAGTACTGGCTTGTTGTGAATTCCTGGATTGTGAGCCACCAGAAGCGCCCCTCCTTCTGCTTTTTAATAGCACAATTTCCTTCAACCAGCTATTCTCTCGTCGCAGCTCCGATGCCTCTCGCTCCAACTCCTCCGTCCTGCCGGTCAGGTCGGTAACACTTCGCTCAAGGTTGAGCGTCTTCTGCTTCTTTTTGATCCGAAATCTGGCTAATGGAAGATCCGTATTCAGACTCACGTGTCTGTAGTTCGAGATAACCACGAACCTGAAGCTGAAGTATTTCGTCTGCGCTTATCTTCAGCAATGGCAGAAGCTTCGTCTGCATTATCACTTGCATCTGGAGAAGCCGATGATGCAATCGCTGGAGTCTCATTAATTGCACTGTGGAAACCTGAATGTGGGGTCATCATAGTGGGGGGAAAGTGTGAAAGAGATCCTGTAGACGACATCGCGAGGGGTAGATTGTGGTGCATGGCTTGGTATGGCACATCGGAAAAATTTGAGGATGTAGAAGGACCTGCCGGGAATTGTCCTTGAGGGTATGGTAACGATTGGTTATGTGCTGTTTGTGGTGGGGGTGGTACAGCTCCTTGCATTGAAAGTAATGCATGTATAAGGTAGTTGTATGCCTCAGGAGGAACATGAGGCGGTGCAGCACCGCGAAAGTGTTGTCCTGTCTTTAAAAACTGTCAGGAGTCTGATTCGGTTAGTAAATCTTGTCAAGTACCCCTGTATTGTCGGCGGAATTGTTGACTGGATTTGATGTATGATCGCCACTGTTGGAAGATGCTTCCCTCTGTTTACGCGAGTCATCCATGTCACCTTGAAACACGATGTTTTCCCAATTGGCCAGCTCTGCTTGTATGGATTCGAATCTGAGTGAATCAAGTTGTTCGTAGGTGATAGAACTGTCCTGAGAATGTGGCATGATGAGAAGAAAGGTCGCCTGAATCATAAGTACCCATTGTTTCCAGACCCAAATCTACCACGAAGCGAGTCGCAATCCCTTCTCATTATTGCGACACTCCTTAGGAGAAGTCAACCGAGTGGTATTATTACGTAAGGAAGGGAAGTCTGCTTAGCGCTAGCGCTCATCGCTGGATGAGACTGATACCAGTCTACCAACGGGAAAAATCTGACCTTGATCAGTACTATGTTGGCCCCACAGCTGCACTCCAGCCAAGCTTAAGGTGAAGTGCATCAGTTCTTCAAGGTGCTGAGGAAAGACCTACGTAGAGCTTAGTCAGCGATGGATATCTTGAAGATGTTCAAGTGCTGTACTGCATTACGCGTTCCTCCTACAAGACATCCTACCTCACTTGAATTAGGGAAGTAACATGGTCAGTATTAAGCTCTCCATATACCGCAGGATCTCACTACCGTGTAGTTGTTGCGAGTCAGGTCGAAAGATGGAAATTTCCGGTTCGAACTTCCCTCAACCGCAGATATTTCAGTGCTTGTGAACAAGGTCAGCGATATCAACCGCTCTTGAGCTTACACATCTTACACCTTCGAATTTCAGATCTTAGAGACGACGGTGGATGCCGATCCTGTGTCTCTTACGGTCTCGGACCAACCCAGAGGCAATGAAACCCTAGTGTCCACTCTGAAAGGGCGAAATCTGCAAACCCTTGGGCTGAAGTGAGTAAACGCTTGTATTTTCTGTATCTTGCGGAATTAAACAGGACAGGCATGGGGATATGATATTTGTGGGATATGCTACCAAAGTCTCACAAGCTCCCGCAACACTAATGTCCATCGATGCGCCAAGCTCAACGCGAGTGCAGTCAAATCTATGGGAAACTGTACAAGAAGACGTGGTCGACATATATTGGCGCTCGAAAAACGGCAAAATTCCACGAGATCGCGACGCGCGTTTCTGCAAACATGGCGCCAACGGGATGTGTGACTATTGCATGCCACTTGAGCCATACGATGCTGCGTATCAGGCCGAACATAGCATAAAGCACCTGTCGTATCACGCGTATCTTCACAAGATATCGCCAAAGACATCATCCGCTGCCGCCACTGCTATTCCTCCCCTGTCTCCATTATCGTACAAGGTTAAAAATCCTTGTCCCAGTGGCGGGCACCCGCCTTGGCCAGCCGGAATATGTACGGGGTGTCAACCTTCTGCAATCACGCTCCAGTCTCAGCCTTTCCGTATGGTCGATCACCTGGAGATCGCTTCACCGGATATTATAGAACGTTTTCTCAAAGCATGGAGATCTACAGGGTTGCAAAGGTTTGGCTGGCTTATTGGACGCTACGAGCCGTATGAAAAGGCGCCCATGGGCATCAAAGCTGTAGTTGAAGCTCTATATGAGCCGCCTCAAGAAGGTGAACTCGACGGATTGACTCTTGGTATTCCATGGGAGGATGAGCCTCGCATTCGAGAGTTAGCCAAAATGTCTTCAGCTCCACTAACCATCGTCGGCTACATTTTCACGGACTTGGATCCAGATCCAGAAGATAGGACTAAAAGCATATATAAACGCCACCCTCATTCCTTCTTT